AATTTAAGTCAAAAACGATGCAAAAAAAATAAACAACTTTGCACCAAGTGTTCATTTGACCCTAAATGCATTTCTAACCTAAAACAATTATGCACACAAAGGTATTTAGTGATTTTAAGCACGCGGGAATGGTCCATGGGCTCTATACAAGCCCGATACAAAATACGACCTATCCGAACCTCAAAAATGCCTAAAATGGACTTTAAAAGGGAAAATTGAAACTTAAAATTATTAAATGGTTTCAAAAGACCATTTGGCCCTTGGCCACACTTCATGCATAAATGAAGAGACTTCATAAAAGTGCTAAAGTGCACTTCCCACACCCCATGCAAATGTAGTGAAGTTAATACTTACCATTTTTCAATTTTTCAGCAAAATCACTTAGAAATAAAAGTGCTTAAAATACAAATAACATGTCTTTGGCCCATGGCCTCATTACATACATGTCAAATACATCCTATATGGCACACTTAAGTGCTCATTACATATTTAGAACCAAATATACAAGTTTTGACATTTTAAATCAAAAGTAACATTTCATGCTAACATTTGAATTAAATACTATAAGTCTACAAAAACATCAAAGGGATATTGTGCATCCCAAAACCACATCTTCTTGCCTGAAACAAATTGCATTCAGCGAGGGGTGAGTAACATGTATTACTCGTAGGGAATGAGCATGCATAGACCTAACTTTTTACAAGTTTATTACATTAATATGAAACCATTCATATGGTTCATGCCACCTAACGTCTATGTCAAAAGTGAGACTCAGGGATCATCCTAAGCTACTTTAAAACATTCGTAGCATAAACCACAATATTCATGCAAGTAAACAACATAAGGGCATACGGTGTAATGTAACAAGACATAGGTATTCAAAGTTGTTAACTTGTAACCTAAAATGCGAAAACAACTAAAACAGTTCATGCCACCTAACGTCTATGTTCCAAATGAGTCTAAGGAATCATCCTAGGCTACATTAAACAATTAATACCCAAATTACAATATCAATACAATTTTAACTAACATTAGAACTTCTAATACAACGCATCAAAATATAGATTATCAAAATTATCCATTTGAAACCTAAAGTGCATAAACAACTAAATATTACAATTTAGTAAAAGTAGAAATTCTAATACAACATACCAAGGCATAGATTATCAAAGATAACAACTTGAAATCTAAAATGCGGAAACAACAAGTTATAACAATTTAGTGCTATTAACTTATATTGAAAAACAAGACATGCAAGTATACTAATTGAAATGTCAAACACCAAATCACAAGTTATAAATAATCCATACTAAATAACTTTGAATTGAATATGAAATCAAGTAGTGGCGGAAAGGCAAGGACATACGGTCTTAATGACCAAACAAGTGATCTCGGGTTGCTAGCCCTCAAGGTGCTACCTAGTGCGCACTAAACCCGGAATAAAATCGTATATTAGTGTTTTTGGGTTCCTAGCCCTCAGGGTACCACCCAGTACGCATTATATGTTGTAGAGGGAGCTCTCATCCCCCGTATTAGAGCCATGCCCGAGCCGTAACATATTCCAATGTCCGTGCAAGCTTTCTTAAAATCAACAAGTTGTGCATCAAGGTATAATACATATACACAATACACTAGTCAACTACCATGTACAAACAAGTCATGTAAAACACACAATATTCATCCTATGTCTTTAAACTACAATGGCATACGACATGTCAAATATATAATGTGTATATAAATAAGTTAATATTATAACTTCTACTCATAAAATGTTATAATGTAATCATACAACAAGTCCCAAATTTATAAATTAAGCATGAAAACAACATCAATGCCTAATTACCTCAATGGAAGCATATAAATGGAATTTAATTAAATTAAATACTTAAATTCCTAAGATTACCAAGCAACTCCAAATATTCTAAAAAAAATAATATAGGTTGAAGGTCATGGCAAGGCCTAGTTTAATATCACATTACAAGTTATATCTACCTAAATTACAACTAGGTAAATTGAATTTCATACAAGAAAATAATTAAATAAAGTTCCCAACACTCATTTAAATATTCTCATTTTCATATATGTTAATGAACATATTAAGGCCTAATTTAATATCACGTTGTAAGTTCGTTCCATGCTAGGTACAACCAAATAAATTAAATTTCATACAAAAAAAATAATTAAATAAAAATCTCAAAACTTATTCAAATATTCTCAATTTAATGCATATGATAGAACATGCCAAGCTCATCAACAATATCAAGTTAAAAATCCAATTTAGTGCTTAGAACACTTAAAATAAAATTAATTAATCTCATTAATTAATTTTCTCTAGATTTTAAAACAAATCTAAATATTCTCAAATTCACGAATATTAAAGAACATAACAAGGCCTAAGTTAATATCACATTACAAGTTGATTCCATACTAGTTACAACCATGTGAATTAAATTTTCATACAAGTAAAAGATTAAATAAAAGTTTCAATGCTTATTCAAATACTCCCAATTTAATATATGTTAATAAACATATCAAGGCCTAATTTAATAGCATGCCACAATTTAATTCCAAGCTATATACAACCATGAGAATTAAATCTTATACAAAGAAAATAATTAAACTAAATTCTAGATAAAATACATAGACATGCATACAAGTTGTATAAGCTTGTAAAATAATTAATACAATAATTATATAAGCCTAAGACATCCCCTACCTCATTTTGTGATGAAATCACAAATCCCCACCGAAAGAAAACCGCTCCGAATACGACAATACTTCTACGTTTTGTCGGGGACTACGAGGGAAACAACAATCACCTTTGAGGTACCACCAAAATCCAAACCTGAACTCGAAGCCCGAACTCAAAAATGGTCAGAACCAGCATCTAATAAGGGGGAAAGGACCTCCTCGCCAAGGTCTACATTAAACGCTAAGGCACTACGGCATTTTACAAAGGGGAATAAGGTGAAAAAGAAGAAAGAAGGGTGGTAGCCCAAGGGGCTACCATGGCTGGTCTAAAACGTGGGAGAAGAAGAGGAAAAATTCTAATTAATTTTTCTTAACCCCCTATTTATAGAAATCTCAAAAAGTGCCCCAAACGGGTCCCGCCAGGTCCGAAAAAAGTGGAATTTGAGCAAACGCGCTCAAATGGTAAAACACCATGAATGAAAAAGAACTGAAGTGAAACAAAAATGAATAACGGAAGAAGTTGCGTCGAAAATTGAGTCCCGTGTAGAAAGATATGCCCCAAACAAGTTCGGCGCTAACCGAGGCCGAAAACCCTAAAACTGGGAAGCGACCGGAAGGAAATTCTAAGAGTACACGACTCGACGAAATGTGAAAATGACTCCCTTATGAGGATCCAGGCTCAAAATGAGGTATTTTGCAATAACATTCATTAATTGCACAATGGCCCCTGCAAAAAAGAATAACTACAAAACTGTCCCAGAATGAAAATATCTTTCAAAAGATATTTTCTTAAAAACCCCTAAAATAAAATATCTTCAAAAGATATTTATGACAAACACCCCAAGAAACATCAATGTTTCTGAAGAATCTTTTCATCCACGCCCCTGCGGGAGAAAGAAACAACCAGCGAGCTTTTCTCTAAAAGTATAGTTACGCGTTTTGAGGAAATCAACTGGAATGAAAACTCATGAAGTCAAAACTCAACTCTGAACACTAAAAGTGAGGTTGTGCCAACAAAGTGACAAACGGAAAAAAGACAAAAAGTGAATAGTGTCCAAAAAGTGAAAATATGGAAATGACTCGGTCCTTAAAGAAACTTGTCAAACCAAAGGAAAGAGTCTCGGAAACCATTTCTGAGCACTCGAGACGACACTAAATGATGAGTAACTGAACTCAAAAAAGAAAATTCAACAGAAAAAAAATTTATCCGTGAAATTTGAGAAAAATGAAAGGAAGGAAAATGACAGGGTCATTACAAGTATGATAAAATTGACTAACATGAAGCAATGGAAGGATGAGCCTGTAATCAACTACATCAATCAGTGGCGGGCACTCCGTCTAGACTACAAGGATCGACTGTTAGAACTCTCTACTGTTGAGATATGTATGCAAGGCATGAATTGGGCCATTATTTACATTCTCCAAGGCATAAAGCCCCGCACATTCAAAGAATTGTCTACGCGTGACCATGATATGTAGATCAGTATAAAATCCCATAACAGCAAAGATCCAGTGGCCATAGAACCACACAAGGACAAGAAGGACTGAAAAAAGGGCAACAAGTCGTCAAAGAACACTACAAAAAAGTCCATGGTTATCTTAATTACCCCAATTAAGATCTTTGTTAAAGATAACAAGAAAGATTATAAGAAGCCTTGTCAATTTCAAGAGAGGGAAGACAACATCCTATGCTAAAGGAATTAGAGATGAAGGAATACCCATTCCCTTATTCTGATGTCTCTGGCATATTGGAGACCTTACTCAAAAGTAAGGTTATAGAACTCCCTGAATGTAAGTAACCTCAAGAGATGGGACGTATTGACAACCTAAAATATTGCAAATATCATCGTATTGTCACTCATCCAACTGAAAAATGTTTTATCTTCAAGGAAGTGGTGATGAATCTGGAAAAATAAGGAAAAAATCTTATTGGACATAGACAAAATTGTAACTTCAAATCATACTACTACTACCTTGTCGACTTCTGCCATAGGGAGTGTGCATTCTCAACCCTCAAACTCTAAGGTATATTATAGATACATCCAGTTTGGCTTATTCAAACCAATCCCTATCTATCTTGGCCAAGGAAGTGTACTTGACGGTTCGGCGTTTGGAAGAGTCATTCCTCAACATGATGAAGAATGATGGACTTTGGTGATGAGAAAGAGACCACAAAAGCAATGAGCTAACATTTTTTAGGCTAGGCATTCTGACATGGGGAAAGGAAGAAGAAACTTCAATATTAATATAAGCAATCTGTGAATGATGAAAAATGGGCCAAGAAGACATATTCAACAAAACACACGTTTATGAGCGAAGTGATTCAGAAGCCCATTACTTTACAAGAATTCTTTCCCAAAGGATATCTAGATGATGAAGTCGTGACAACTTACATAGTGTCAACTGGGAAAGCGAGCCCTAATGATGAAGATAACAAGGATCAAAATGAAAACCAACCTGTAAAGGACCATACAAAGGATACATCCATCATTGAAAAGTTTGATGACAAGGAAGTAATTGGAGGTACACTTGATTCATGTTGTGCAACCATTGCTTTCACTGATGAGCACCTTTAATTGGGGTTAAAGCCGCATAATCATCCTCTCTTCATTTCTAATTACATAAAAAGAACAAAAAGTTACTCGAATTCTTATTGATGGTAGATTGATCGTGAATCTCATGCCAAAATGTACAATAAAAAGTCTCGGCATCACAGTCGACGAGTTAGCTCATAGCCATCTCATTATTCAAGGTTTTAACCAAGGAGGACAGAAATCTATTGGCATGAGTCGTGCGAACCAAACTACTGGCGAGCTCTATGCTGAAACTTTATTCCATGTAATTGATGCAAGAATGTCTTACAACTTGTTACTGGGAAGACCTTGGATTCATGTTAATGGCATCATTCCATCGACTCTTCATCAATGTTTCAAATTCTAAAAGAATGGAGTTCAAACAGTGGTGGCAGACCATAAATTGTTTACAGAAATAGAAGTTCATTTTACAGAAGCCAAGTTTTATATTGAGCCCGATACACCTTCGGAGGTGCCCATCCCAAGCTATCCATCTACACAAGAAGTTGAATCTGTAAAACCAAAAGATGCATTGTCTGACCCTTTAGATGTTTCATTGACAGACACTATAAAGGTAGCTAAAACGCGGGAGGTCTCGATAAAAGCACATCGGATAACACCTATTTTAAAGTATGTTCCAAAATCTTGATGACAAGAAGACTATGTTCCAAAATCTTGATGACAAGAAGGGTAGTCACTTGTCATCGAGATACTTTGAAACTACGAAAGTTAAATTGAAGATGTCGCAAACCAAGGAAAATGAGGATCTGCAAAAGCTGCAAGGAGAGTTAACTTTTTCTCTCACTAAGATTCAAAAGTCCTTGTTTGCCAAGTCTCCATTAAAAGGTTTCGTCAGACCTTCTCAATCTCTAGTCAAACATAGATCACTTCCAAAGTAAATAAATGATGAAGGATTTCATATAAGCTTTTGGCTAAGTCTGGGTATGATTTTGCAAATCTTACAAGCCTCGAAAAACTTAACCCTTAAGTCATCAGTGAGAAAGTGCTCAGCCTCAATAAGATACAGAAAAAGCTAAAGGAACAAGGACATAGGATCAATCCACCCAAGTTTGGTCTCAGTTTCGCAGCAACTGAGCCATTTCGAATTCAAAACAAAGAAGGGTAAAAATTTGAACAATTTGTACATTTGTATTGATGAGATTTCTGATGACTAAGACCTATAGTCTATTCATCCAAAGTCAATCTTTAACTATATAGGGGATCTATCTACTTAAGCATCTGTATTCGACAGGTTGTCAAGCCCAATATCAAATGTCTTAAGTTCTTATATCAGAAATTCGCCTCGTACCTCTATTTTCAAAAGGATGAGCTTTCACAACCAAGGAAGAAAATCTTTGCAACCTTTACCTCGGAGGTCCATTTTTACTCGAATTGGAGCTGCCAATATGGTGCCCTTGAGAAGTGACAAGGGTGAAGAATCAGATAAGGCTAACAACGATATGCTGAAAGATATGGAAGTTCAGAGCCTGGTACCCTCACGAATGAAACGTATGACGAAGATAGATGCCACTAATGATGTTACACTAAAAGCTCAAAGATGAACCATTGTGTTCACTAGTAAATCAAAAAAAGATGACAAAAGCAAGATAATGACAGAGTGTCTTGTGCTACTTCATACCACATTACTGCTGAAGAAGAATCTGACCTTGACAAACCAGACGACGACATCAAATAAGCCCCACCAAAACTAGAAGATAGGGAGCAAGCTACTGTTGATCAACTCAAAGAAGTCAATTTATAAGGACTGACAGTTAGCCTAAACCATTTTTCATTAGTTTATTCCTAAGTCCCTTTGAAAAAGATGATTACTTTAAGTTGTTGTCTGGGTATAAGGATGTTTTTGCTTGGACATACAAAGAGATGCCCGGTCTTGATCCTAAAACTACGATTTATAATCTGGATGTCAAACACAGGACACGTTATATTAAATAGTCTCAACATTTCTTCTGTCCAGAACTTGTTCCGAGGATAGAGGAACAACTCAACAAATTGATTGAAGTAGGATTCATCCGAGAGGTTAAATATCTGACATGGATTTCGAGCATTGTTCTAATAAAGAAGAAAAACGGACAAATACGAATCTGTGTGGACTTTCATGATTTGAATAAGGCATGCCAAAAGATGATTTCCCTCTTCCCATCCCCAAGCTCACTGTAGATGTGACCACGGGGCATGAATGCTATGTTGATGACTTGGTGGTTAAGATAAAAAAAAATGAGAGAATCATTTACAAGATTTGCATACAATCTTAAATCACCTTAGAAAATACCAACTCAAGATCATTCTGCTCAAATGTGTATTTGGTGTCACTTCAAGAAAATTCCTTGGGTATGTGGTTCGTCATCGTGGTAATGAGATTGATCGAGCTAAAGTCTAGGCCATTCAGAAAATGCCACCACCCAATAATTTATGAGAGCTTTGAAGTTTATAAGGTCAACTTACGTTCATTCGTCAGTTCATCTCAACTTTAGTAGGCCGTTGCCAAAATTTTAACTGACTCATGAAGAAGGACATTTCATTTAAGCAGGACCAATCCTGTCAAAATGCTTTTGATAGCATCAAGAAGTACCTTCCCAGGCCTCCAGTGTTGGGAGCACCCGTGTTTAGATAACCACTCATACTTTACATTATTGCGCAAGAAGAACCGTTGGTGCACTCCTTGCTCAAAATAATGAAGAATATAAAAAGAAGACCTTGTATTACTTAAGTCACATGCTCAGCCCGATAGAACAAAAATATTCGCCAATTGAAAAAACACGTCTCGCCTTTATCTTTGCCTCTAAGAAATTGAGGCATTATTTCACATATGATACATTTCATTGCAATAGTTGATCCTATCAAATATGTCATGTCTAAACTGATCCTTTCTGTATGTTTGGCAAGGTGGTTAATTTTATTCAACGAGTTTGAAATTTTTTATGTACCACGAAAAGCTGTGAAAGGATAAATCCAAGCAAATTTCTTAGTTAACCATCCTATTCCAGCCGATTAGGAAATTTTTGAAGATTTTCCCAATGAAAAAGTCTTTCTTATTAAAATTCTCCCTCTATGGATGATGTTTCTCGATGGGACGGCACGATTAGACGGGGCTGAAGCTAGTGTAGTTTATGTCTCTCCACAAAGATAAGTTATTCCATATATTTTTGCCTCGCTGAAAACTGCTCAAATAATGTACCTGAATATCAAGCCTTGATCATCGGTCTTCAAATGGCGAATGAAATGAAGATTATAGATCTCGAGATATATGGAGACTCTAAATTGGTGAGTAACCAACTTCTTAAGGATTATGAGGTTAAAAGGATGATCTACTGCCGTTCTATCATTATACCTCTCACTTGTTGGAGTGATTTGATAGCGTCATGCTAGAACATATTCCGAGGAAAGAAAATCGGATAGATGATGCTTTGGCAATGACATTGGCTTTAACCGATGAGGACCTGGTTAAAGTTCATGTATGCCAATAGTGGGTCTTGCCACAGGTCCTTAAAGATTAGTTTGAGGAATGTAATCTATTTTCCATCTTGGCCATTAAAGAAGACGACTAGAGGTGCCCTATCATCGATAATTTGGAACATGGAAAGCTTCCTGAAGATCTACGCCATAAGACTGAGATACGAAGATGAGCACCTCGTTTATCTACTATAATGATACATTGTATAGGCATTCATTTGAAGGCCTTTTTCCGTCGCTGCCTTAGGGATGACAAAGAAACCCGCGCAATGAATGAGGCACATTCTGGAATTTGTTGAGCCCATCAATCTAGTCCTATGCTTCACTTTCGCGTGAAAAGAATGCGTTATTATTGGCCCGCTATAGTTAAGGATTGTTTGGAATATGCGAAGAGATGTCAAGCCTATTAATTCTATGCTAATTTTATACACCAACCGCTGGAGCCATTGCACCCTACTGTGACATCATGGCCATTCGATGCATAGGGATTAGATATATTTGGTCCTCTATATAAGTCTTTAAATGGCCACTTATACATCTTGGCTGCTACTAATTATCTTTCTAAATAGGCTGAAGTTGCACCATATAAACAAGTAAAAAAGGAGACAGTTGTTGATTTCATCAAGTCTACCCTTATTTATTAGTATGGTGTCCCTCGATACATCATCATTGATAATGGAAAGAATTTCAAAGATAGTTGGGTGACTGACCTTTATGAGAAGTTTGGCTTCAAACAACCTAAATCTTCCATGTACAACGCCCCTGCCAATGGTCTTGCTGAAGCATTCAATAAAAATCTTTGTGAATTATTAAAGAAGGTAGTCAACAAGACAAAGAAAGATTGACATGAATGAAAGGGAGAAACATTGTGTATCGCACTACATATCGTAACACCTACTCAAGCAACTTCGTATTCCCTTGTTTATTAGAAACGGTTCTTCTATTGGAACAACAAATTCCCTCGTTGAGGATAACTATTCAAGAAGGTCTTATAAATGAAGAGAATACCATTTTACGTCTTCAAGAATTGGAAGCATTGGACTAGAAAATATTGGAAGCTCAGCAACAATTAGAATGTTATCAAGCCCGACTCTCTAAAGCATTCAATAAGAAGGTTCGACCTCAGTAATTCCAAGTTGGAGACTTCGTACTTGTCATTTGCAAACCAATTATCATGAATCATCGCATTGGAAATAAATTTTTATCCAAATGGGACGGACCATATGTTGTACGCGAAGTCTATACCAACATCGCATATCTAATTGTTGACAAAGACAGAGTAAGAGTGGGTCATATCAATGATAAGCTCTTGAAGCACTACTACCCATGATAGCCATGCTCCTGATCGCACGAGTTTAAGCTACACTATGCTATTAACCCACATGAGTTAAAACTACGATCGCCAAAAAAAATAATAATAATACAATTAAATTAAATTAAATTAATCTGATGTCTTTATTGAACTACATGATGACTTGATCCCTCTTTTGAGGGTACGTAGGTAGCTTAAAATTTTATTCTAAGTTCAGTACACCCAAAAAAAAAATTACTGTTGGCCCACAAGAATATAAACTGTGAATAACAAAATAAATAAATCAAATTCATTGCTTTGTCATAATAAAAATATATTTTATTACAAGGTATGTGAAAATTCCCTAAATATATGATGATTAATGAAAAGAAAAACATTAAGGCAACAAAGGGAGATCCTCAATTTCATTTTGTGCACTTTTTAACAGCTTCTCTAGTAAATTCAGGGCTCTTATATCATCATCAGTGACAACGAGGGTTTCTTCAATTGAATTTTTTTCTTCCTTAAGGTTTGCTATGCTAGCTTTCCTTTGGAGTATTCTGTTATTGGTTTCTTCAATGGTGTCTTTGTATTTTTCAATACGAGCACTCAAAAGTATATATTATCTCTCATCATTAAATAAAGCTTCTTAAAGTGATCAGACTTGTTCCATGTTTATATCATCTAAAGCAAGAACTTCATTGAGGCAATAATCAGCATCAGTTAAATGTTGAGCGCATACTTCTTCAGTAAGGCATGATCATTCTTGACTCATACTTTGTTATATTCTTCACCATTCTGAAGGTATGCATTAATTCTCTGGTAGAACTCCGAAAAATACACACATTTATTAGAGATTTCAAGAAGGATCTGATCAAACTTTGGCTTAGGAGATGGAATCTTCGAAAGTGGAGTACATTTTACTTTACTCTTGATGATTAGGGGTGGCAAAATTCGACACTACCCACCAACACGACACGAGTTAAATGGGTAATGGGTTTACCATAAACTGTTTCGCGTAGTAAACGAGTTAACACGAATAACCCGTTTAGTTAAACATGTCGTGTTAGGGTTTGTGTGGTTCAACCCCGTGTAACCCGTTTGACCCGTTTGATTAAATGTGTCACCCGTGAACCCGTCTAACCCGTTACCTGTTTTGACCTGATTAATAGGGGACATTTTGGTCATTTCATAGTTACATAAGAAACCCTATTCTTATTATACTGTTATACAAAATGTCAAAATATATCAATTATCAAACTTAGTAACTTACGCAGCCAGCCAGACAAAATAAACCATTAAACCTTATTCAGTCTTTCTCTCGCCTCTCGCCTCTCGCCTCTCGCCTCTCAGTCTCTCCTTTTTCCCCTTTTTCTCTCTTTGAATCGACAGTCCAGACAACTCCCTCTCTCTCTCTCTCTCAAATCCACACCACACCTCAAGCGACCAAAAACACTACAGTCTACACTTCGAGCGACCAGCGAAGAACACAAATCTTGAACAATCGAAGTGAGTTTTCTATTTTTCTCTAATTTTTTTGTCTTTTCTCTTTCAGATCTACTTTGAAACCACAAGAGTTCCATTTTTTTTATCTTTTCTCTTTCAAATCTACTTGGAAACAAGTTTTCTTTAATTTTTTTCTTTCAGATCTACTTTTAAACAAATTTTATCTATTTTTTTTTCCATTATTATTGTTGGTTTTTAGAAAGTTTAATGTATATATTATATGTATCGCGCTTGGTGCTTCTGTCTGATGTATATATTGACAATGATAACCACCAACATCAGTCCCATTCGAACCATATGAACAATTGTATATACTTTACTACAAATACTAGCTCTCCTGTATATAGAATTGTAGCCCAAATACTAGTATAACTCACTTGGGTTTGTTTCATGCCAATTAAAGAGATTAACATGAGCCATCTAACAGGACATTGACATTTACAATGTGTTATCTTTGTAAGGGTGGTGAATAAACTTAAGCAATACAGACTTGCAGTTTAATTTGATATCTACATATCCTACTATATTAATTCCTTTGTATTTTAAAGTTTAATTTGATCTTAGATATATTTTCATTGGGTAGTGATCATCTTGCAATGTTGCTGTTACTCATACATGATGTCACATGTTTGATCATTGATGGTAGGACAAGAAATTAAGTTCATCATGACCTCATGATCATTGGAATCTTGTTAAACCCACTGTGTGTGCACACACACACACACCTGATCTTCCAATTTTGTACGCCAAGAACAAAATTAATGGCTCATTAATTTACTGAGCTTGAGATTTATTGGGCTCAATCCAATATTTGGGTTTTCCTAATTATTACATGTATATCGTTACAATGATGAGAAATTTGGCTCATTTTTTGCAAGTTAATTAAGTGGTGCATGGAATATATTGCTCAAGTTTGGTGGTTATGACATGCTAAACAAGTCTTGATGAGATTCTTGACTAGAATGCCGGAGTTGCACGAGGCAACTAGGTTTGATAGAAAAACTTACACAGTTGCCACAAATTAAACTTACACAGTTGCAATAATGAACATACACAGTTGCCACAAATTAAACAACTATCTTCCCCTTGAGAAGTGGCAATAATTAGGTTAATGTGATTCTCTACAAGCTCCTCCATAGATCTCTGTATTCCTTGCAATTTGTATATGGTGAGAAATCATAGAAAAACTTATGTGGATAAGGTTTAATTTGTGAAAGATAGAAGAAGATCAAAGAAGAACCAGAGAGAAAGAAAGAGAGACAAAGGAAAGAACAAAGAACAAATGGAATATTTTAACTACAAATACTAGCTCTCCTGTATATAGAATTGTAGCCCAAAAAATAATAATAATAATTAAGAGCACATAGAATAGAATGAGAAAAGAGATTCCAGTAGTCTTATTTATTTTTAAAAAATGATTAACTTTCGTGTATATTATAGAAGATGGCATTTTAATCTAATAGTCTTCACACTTCAACTAATTTTTTTTTTTTTTTTAATATTTACTATTTAGATGGATTCTGCCATGAGACTTGACGAAAGTGGATCAGAAGATGATCTTGATTTGATTGACCTTGAAGTGGATCAGAATGAAAATGCAGATGTGCAAGCGCAACCGAAAAAGAAACAAGACACGAAGCGCAAAAGAAAACTCACATCAAAAGTTTGGTTGCACTATGATATACTTCCACCCGGTAAGGACAAGAAGAGAAGATACAGATGTAAGAAGTGTGGGACTGAGTATATTGCGGAGGGTAGGTATGACACTGGTAATTTAAAGCGGCATATAGATTCGTGTGTTAGGAAGGATACACAGGACATAGGTCAGTTGCTTTTATCTCAATCATCTGAATCCATATCTATGCGTGCTTCTAAGTTTGATTTTAATAGATTTCATGAGTTAGTGAGTGCTGCTATCATTATGCATAATCTGCCATTTCAATTTGTTGAATATGAGGGCATTAGAAACATGTGTCATTATTTAAATGAGGAGGCTCAGCCCGTAAGTAGGAACACAGCCAAGGTTGACATATTAAGGATGTATAAAAATGAAAAGGGTAGGCTTCGACATATGTTGGAATCAACAAATGGTAGGATTTCTCTGACATCTGATTTGTGGTCTTCTCTAACTACTGATGGGTACTTATCTCTTACTGCACATTTTATTGATGTGGATTGGCGCTTACAAAAAAGAATTTTGCACTTCTCTTACATGCCATCTCCACACAATGGTGTTGCTTTGACAGAAAAGATTTATACATTACTAGTTGAATGGGGGATTAAAAAGAAACTATTTTCAATTACTCTAGACAATGCTTCTTCAAACTGTTCATTTATTGAATTGTTGAAGTCTCAACTCAATTTGAATGATGCTTTATTAAGTGGTGGAGAGTTTTTTCACATTCGTTATTGTACACATATCTTAAATTTGATAGTGCAAGAGGGGTTAAAAGAGGTTGATGAATCTATCATAAAGATTCATGAGAGTGTTAAGTATGTTAAAGGTTCTCAAATGAGGAAACAAAAATTCTTTGAATGTGTCCCTCATGTTTCCTTAGAATGTAAAAGAGGGTTAAGGTAAGATGTTCCTACAAGATAGAATGCAACATATCTTATGCTTGAGTCTGCCATTTATTATCGTCGGGCTTTTTGTCATTTGCAGTTGAGTGATTCAAATTACAAGTTTTGCCCATCTCAAGAGGAGTGGAGTAGGATAGAAAAGATTTACAACTTCTTAACTGTTTTTTATGATGTTACAAACATCTTTTCTGGATCCAAGTATCCCACGGCAAACTTGTACTTTCCATTTGTGTTTTTGGTTCAATTGACATTGCGAGAGGAAATGGATAGTAGGGATCAGTTTATAAGCAAGATGGCAACTCAAATGTATTCAAAGTTTGCAAAGTATTGGTCTGATTATAGCATGATCCTTGCTATTGCTGTAATTTTAGATCCTAGATACAAGCTTGGGTTTGTTATTTTTAGCTATAACATGCTTAATGGTGATAACAACATTGAGAGCACACTAGTTCGTGATGCACTATTTAACCTTTTGGATCAATATTTGTTGAATTCTCCTATAGCTTGTACCACCAAATCCACATCTTCACCAAATGATGGAAGTGAGCACCAGCAAGTTGATGAGGGACAGTTAACTAAAAAGTTCATTGATGTTATGAAGGTGAATAATACTTTTGTGAGATATTAAATTCCTTTAATGCCTATTTTATTCATTACATCTATTTATTTTTCTACTTTTGCCATTAATTGATCTATTTGTTTTTCATAATTTTTGTAATGTTTGAATTTGACTCATTTGAGAATGATAAATTGCTTGGAAATGTCCAAAAATCAGAGTTGGAACTCTATTTAGATGAACCAAAAATCAATAGGAATGCGAACCTTGACGTGCTTACCTATTGGAAAGCCAATCAGTTTAGGTATCCTGTGCTTGCTCAAATGGCTCATGATATATTGAGCATTCCAATCACTACAATTGCTTCTGAGTCTGCGTTTAGTGTTGGTGGTCAGGTTCTTGATCAATATCGTAATGCACTTAAACTAGAAAATGTGGAAACTTTGGTATGCACGAGGGACTGGATTTTTGGTTTGAAAGGTAAATGACTTATAATAAACTTCAAATTATATTTTTATTATTGTAGAGAATAGTGAAGTAATAATTTTTTTGTGTATGTTTTACTATAGATACAATGAAGCTTCACACAGATGACTTGATTGATGATGTAATGAAACTTAATATCAACAATGATGACCCTGCTGTAGGCCAATGTTCCACCAGTGTTAGCGTGACCGAACATTAAAATCCAGCTAGGTAAAAAAGCCCTCTGCATCTGTTTTATTTTTCACATAATTTGTTACATACATTCTTTTATATTTCAATCTGTTATTTATTTATTTATTTTTATCTAAACTTATTTTACACTTACCTATTTTGTAGGAATTTGTACTTTTGGGTGTTTCAGAAAAGAGTGCATGCAAATTGCAGAAGGAAGTTTTTGAGTGGATTTTTGGCTTAAGAAGATTGCCTGTTACTCTAACATTTCTATTAAATATTTTTATTTCGGTCTGTAATGACTTATGACTTATCTTTATTTCAGTCTGTAATAACTTATGACTTATTTTTATTTCGGTCTGTAATAACTTATGACTTCTGACTTAATCTTTATCTTTGGCTTTTAATCTCTCTTTTGGACTGCATCACAGTACAAAATTTCTAGTCATGTTTGCTAGTATTTTAATCTTTGGCCACCTTAAATAGGTTAAGCGGGTAAACATGTTAAATAGGTTAAGCAGGTAAACATGTTAAACAGGTTAAACGGGTAAACATGTTAAACAGGTCGTTAAACAGGTCGTGTTTGATGTGTCTAACACGACACATTTATTAAACGGGTTATACGTGTCGTGTCGTGTTATTCCCAAATACTTTGGTTATCGTGTACTTAATCTCGGAGATAGCACTCCTCGGGTCAAAGGAAGCTGTGAAAGGTGTAATTCGGTGAGATAACTAAACATGCCCAAGGTGATGTCTCTTAGTTGATAATGCAATGATAGTTATTGGAATTTCTTCAACATTTATAATCTTTTGTTGTTGTTGACTTTGGACTTCTTTCTCAACTGGCGAAGCTTGGGGTTATAACTGCCATTCATGGAACTCCACCTTTTGTGAAAAAGGGTTGTTCTCATCTTAAGTAATTGCATGGTTTCTTCTAGTTACCAAATTAAATGCATACGGTCTATAAATAGACTCTCCACTGCATATAGGATTATTAACAATAATGACATCTTCTCCAAGAAAGCCTTCATTGCCTTTTGTCTGGGGGAAAAAAGAAACCTTACTTGGATAGGTTCTGAACTACTATTAACTCCGTCAAATAAGCGGTCTGAATTACGGGAATAATAACACAATCACATGGGATGGTATTTTCTCCTACATGCTTCTAGTTGTGGTCTTCATTGTCAGTTTCTCTATTGTCATCATTGCCCAAATTGACTACTAATTGAGAGCAGTGCCGGGATTGTGTCAGTGATAGAAATTTCTCTGTTAACATGTCTGCATTGATGTTGTTGTTGTTGTGAGTTTCAGAGGCTTCCTGTCTGTAAAGAGAATTCGACTTTGGTTCATTAATGGTGACTTTTCTGACTTTGGTTGATGGTTCCTTTGGAGAAAGCATACGTTTAGTCGACAGTGAAGTGCATCTTTTATTTGTGAATTGATCAACGTAGACACTGGACCACCATTTGGCATGCGCTTTGGTAGCTGAGAACTGCATTTAGCTAGATTGTGACGGAAGTACCGCGTCACAATTGAAAGAATAACGGATAGATGATTTCTAATACTTTAAGATTTCTTCTAAAGTACAATTGTGAAGATCGTTTTTCAATCTTCCAGGAATATCTTGATGGAATCCAAACTATCTGCTGAATCTGTGCGGACTGTATGGCTCAATGATAAGATGGTCACCTTGGCATATGTTAAATAACACGGTCGAAGATCAATTAGATAGTTAAAGTCAGGCACCAATATTTGGTTATCATCCACGATGAGACGATGGTCTGGAGATCTTTTAAATAAACGAGTTAAAATCACCCCATTGTATGATCTGAATAAAGCTTGTGATTCAGGTGGTTCAAAGTGTTTTGCCCTTCCTTATCCCGCAAATAATGTCATTCGAGGCTAGTAGCCTGTATGGGGGGCACGAGAGTTCAATCTAAAATATCAACTTATTCATCCAAGCATGTATTGTATAGGAAATATTACAAGACAGTTTCCAGGATCTGGTGAAGAAACGATCTCATTCAAGCCTCTATAAATACTAGCCAAAATTGGGATGGAAAGATAGATATGATAACCACCTGCTAACATGCTTACAACCATATGATAAGTGCTAAAATATTGCACATTTCAGCCCAAATCTCGGGTATTTTAAACTTTTCATCTATCCTTATTTTTCCGTTTTAGTCCTAATTTGTGTTTTTGTTAATTTCAGGTTAATAAGGTTTAAACGGGCTCAAAAACAGTTCATTAAAGCCTTTTTGGAGTCAAGCAAAAAGTAAGAGAAAAATTCAGAAAAAATCCAAAAAAATGGTTGTAACCCATCGTTCGCAAGGCCTGTGATCGATCGTAGCTTTGCTGCAAACAATCGTAAGCCACGTCATCATTTGCAGGTCAAGCTTCATCACCTGCAATCGATCACAACCTACTGCTGAAAAGATATTTTTAGGTCAATTTAGCCGGATCTTCACCAACCAAAGGGGATATGGGATTGCATCATTTTTGGGCATATTTGTGACCTGTTTGGGCTCCAAGGGTCTTGTATAAAAGGGGAATTGGACCATTTTGTAAAGGGTTAGCTAGTTAGAGATATTTTTAGAGAGAGAAAGTTAGAGATAAAGATTAGGGTTTTGAAATGGAAGCAAAAAGATCTCTAGAAAAAGGCAAGCAAGAAGAAGAAGAGGAAAAAGATGAAGCAATGCATGGGAATGGATCTTGGAGCTACTTTGACCACATCTACACCCTCCATGAGTGGCCAAACTTCTCTTTAGGGCTTGGATGAGCCCTAAGCTTATAATCTAAACCCTTGTCTTTCTTAGGGAATTAAATGTTGTAATTGATGCTATAGTCTTATGTATATGCAAAACTTGGTTGTACCAAGGATTTATATTGTTTAATTATTTCTATTGATTCTCTATGTGATTACATGTTATCTTATGTGTGATTATTTGAGAATTGATCTCTACACTAGATACTTGTTGTACTTAATTGTATTTACTGATGACTATACAAGGTTTTTATTAGATGGATTTGTCAATTAATTTAATGGATTATACTTATGCTTGATGGATTACACTACATCTCTAGTTTAATTGTTCTTTAATTGTAGTTTAATTGCATTTTAATTGTAGTTAGGTAGACAATCAATGCTTGAATTTGGTAATCCATCGCTTATTATTGCAAATTGCATTATTCTCTAGATTGATGTGTACTACAATTGTTGATTAATTTGATGGTTTATGCTTAGACTTGATGAATTGCACCACACCTTAGTTTACTTGTTGTTAGGTACACAATTCATGCTTGAATTTGATATCCATGCTTATTATTGCAATTAGTAGTCACATTTTGTTTACAACATGAATTTTTCCCAATTCGCTGAAGGCATGTGGTTTGGTGAATGAGCTTAGTGGTGATTCATATGCCCTAAGACTCCTCTCCTATCTCTTAAACTTTACTCAATTTAGCTTAATTTACATTGCATGTTTTAAGTTGAATTTTAGTTTAATCAAACCAAACCAACTCTCTTTTCAATCTCATTAACACTAAAGTTGAATTTGATTCTAGCACGTGTTCAGTCCCTGAGGACGATCCCTTCTCGTTATACTTCATTGTATAAGTGTTAAGTGGCTTTTATAAATTTTAAAAGATAATACCCATTCGACATAGTTCTAAATCTATATATAAGTACATTATTTTGTGTACACACCAAAGACGCATCATATTTTTGGCGCCATTGCTGGGGATTGACGGTTTAGTTGGAATCAAATAAGGCATTAATGCTCATTTGATTGCTTGTTTTAAATTTCATTTAATTTTCTTACTTGTTACTCTATGTTCAATTAGGTACTTGAATAGAAGAGGAGCAAGCATTCGATCATTACATTGTTGCTAAGGACCTTTGTAAGCATTTCTTTGAACTTTTTTACCATAATTGCTCATCTCTATATGTGCTTGCGAGATAGTCTTTGTCGAGGCTATCACATTGCTTAATTTCTTGTCCAAACATAGGCCCTTGTCAAGGCCATTTACTTTATTGTTAAAAGCATTGGCCCTTGTCAAAGTCAATTATTTTGTGCATTGATATATTAAGGAGAAAGGGAACATCGTATGTAGAGGTTGTGGATTTGTTGTTGATTGTTGTGGTTTGTTGTGAAGTTGTTGTGTATGCGTGGTAGAAGGTCTCTTAATACTCCTCTCATCCCTTTAAATCAAGAACTCGAATCTTCCCTTCGGCGATTAAGAGGTAGTTTTAACTGAATTCTCTCACTCTTGACCACCCCATTACTTTATTGGAAGAACAAAATGATAATCAAAGGTATGTTGAACCTCAAGGTGTGTATCCACCCTTAGGAGTTCAATACCGTAATCTTATGCAACAACCTCTTGGAATGCTAAGACCAAATGTGGTTCCACCACCCATTTGAATGCAACCACAGCCTTTTGTGCAAATCCTTCCCAGAGCTTAAGTAGTTTACCCTCCTCGAGGTCATGTGATGTATCCTCCCATTCCTCCAATGGTCCTTAGGAATCATTACACTCTAAATGAATACAATGCACCAACATGTATCCGGTTACCAAACTTTCGAGCTCACCATAATGAGATTAAAGCTTCAACCATCTAAATGTGCCCCCTATTCTTTGGGTTGAGCAATAAAGAACCATTTAAACACTTGGATGAGTTTCTAGAAGTTTGTTCAACCGTGAAAGTCACGGATATTCCGGAGGAAATCTTAAAAATGAAGTTTTTCCCTTTCTTTCTTCGAGACAAGGCAAAATATTGGTTTAATAACTTGGGGCCAAATACAATCACAACTTGGGGCACAATTGCAACAAGAATTCTTAAAAAAATATTACCCCGCAAATAGAACCAATGCAATGAGAACTTTCATCCGTGAATTTTCCCAAGGTGAGGGAGAACCTTTGCATGAAACATGGGAGCGTTTGAACGACTAGCTACGGAAGTGTCCACAACATGACCTTCACAAGTGACAACTAGTTCAATACATCTATGAAAGCTTATCCGAT